CCAGTGAATAAGTTGAGCAGATTTACGAACAATCCCAGTCATGAGCACTGGAATGCTTTAAGAAGGGTACTTAAGTACTTGAGGTACACCCTTGAATACGGGCTAAAATACTCGACATATCCAGCGGTACTTGAAGGGTACTGTGATGCAAGCTGGATATCAGATTCGAGAGATTCTCGCTCCACTAGCGGATATGTTTTCTGTATTGGAGGAGGTGCAGTTTCGTGGAAATCTACCAAACAAACGTGTATAGCTCGGTCAACGATGGAATCGGAGTTCATCGCTTTAGATAAAGCTAGTGAAGAAGCCGAGTGGCTTAGAAATTTTTTATCTGATATTCCATGTTGGGATAAGACTTTGCCGCCTGTGATGATTCACTGTGATAGCCAAGCTGCTATAGGTAGGGCGCAAAGCAACTTGTATAACGGTAAGTCTAGACATATTCGTCGTAGACATAATACTGTACGTCAGTTGATCACAAATGGTATTATTTCCGTTGACTATGTGAAGTCCAAGGAAAATTTGGCTGATCCTTTGACGAAAGAATTGAATAGAGATCAATTGACAGTTTTGCTAGAGGGAATGGGCTTAAAAATCCACAATGTAAAGAATGATCATAGTGGTAACCCTACCATGCTGAGTGGAGATCCCACAAACTTGGTTCAAAGGGAAAACTAAGCTATGAAAATTCAGTCGAGCACTTGGAACATATGAATGTCCAAAGCTATTCCCTAGAACACTCCAAGTGTAAGATTACCTGTTGATTGTGGTGAGGGTAAGTCATATGGACTTTTAATGAATCCCTAACCTTGTAAAGGTGGAGTAAGACAGGATACTCTTGATAGAGAGGTCACCTATATAAGTGTGAAGTGTGGGCCGCTTCAAATGTAAACACTTATGAATCCATTGTGTTGTCCATGGCCAAAACGGACACAACGATAGAACGGAATGGAGTTAAAACTCTATTGTGTGAATGTCATTGTCTTGGTGTACACTACGGAGGAATAGTTCAAGGCATTATGTCCACTAGGCCGCCAGTACATCCGATGATGTTTACTAAGAAAGGTTCAAAGCTAAAAACTACCTTCTCTGATGCAATAGAGTTTAGTGAGGATTGAGCATAAAAGTCTGCGTGAATTTATTTACACTCATGTGGAGGATTGTAAATTATTGAGTGCAAATAAAGTTGAGTGGGAACCCATATCATATCATTTCCCATTCCTTATCATTTCTTGAATTGCGTGATGAAAGTTGTCATCATATTGCCAACCCATTTCCCAATTGGTCAGAATAATAAAAAAAAAAATGTTAAACAATTGCAAGATGAATTGAAATTTGTACAAATTGATGCAACTCTCAACACTATAAATAGCCCTTTCGGGCAGAAGGAGAAAAACACCGAAAGAAAGAAAGAAAGAGAGAAGAACGAAAGAAAAGGGAAAGGAAAGAAAATATATGTCCAAATATCGGATATAAAAATATCAAAAGAGAAAAAACAAGTGATATTTTATTTGTTTCAGAATATTTTTTTTTATTATTAAGTGCTCAATTCTCGATTCCGTTCCCATTCGCCGGAGCTCGTAAATCTGGTGTGCTACAGATTTAGAGACGTTTGCCGTTGTATCTTTGGGGAAGTTACGCCTGAACCGTTAGCTGCCACACGGGGCGTATTCTTCTTGCGGAAAGAGTTTTACTCTCCTCGGCTAAAATCTTTCCGTTTTTTCAAGTTGTAATTTATATTTTCAGTTCAATTGTAATTTTCTATTTTAGATTATTTGTAAGAACTGAAAATACATATCAGTTCGTAGGATTCCCGTGTAATTTTGACACCAAATATCCAACATAAGACACATATAGTTAATATAAGATAGATGATCTGGTGAAAACGCCTCACGGGATAGTACAGTAATGTACTATAGCATTTTCCCTTTCTATTATTTGTTTTTTTTTTCTTATATATTTTATTTTTCCATTTGTCAAAATACGTTTGCAAATATATATATATATATATATATATATATATATATATATATATAGGGGCTGGTTCAAATGCGGCCCACTCTTAAAATGCGGCCGTGAGACTCAATTTGGGCCGTCCATTAAACACGCTCAAAACAATTCACCTGCGCGTAATTAGATACATTATATATATATATGTGAAACACGTACAGTTCAAATACGAAACAATCAACTTCGCGCAAAAACTTACACAGAGAATCGCGAGAAAATCTTCCCA